ATTATTATTACTGCAGTAATTTGGGACATTTAACAAATGGTAAAGTATCCTTACGAAATTAAAGATGCAACAGAAAAACATCAATTTGTCATTGCTATTGCATCACAGAACAAAGTGATTTAAACAACAAATATAAAGGCCAAAATGTTCATAGCATTGCAGTAGTGGCACAGAATCAGCATGTCACCTCTGAAAGTAAGTTTTTTAGAGACTGGCCTACCAGCATATTGGGCTTATCAGGTCCATGCAGAGGACAGCAAGCAGCAAACTGTCCAGCAGGATACCTGGTCCAAAGGTATGCTTGTATCAAACACAGAGGAAGGCAGGTATTATATTTCTGTCATTTTTTGTGGATCAGAAGCAATGCACAATAGCCAGACAGCTCTGCTTCAGGTCGTTCTTCCATTACATGTCCTGCTGACTTCACTACGTGATATTTTTTCATTGTAGCAGATTGCCCAATATTGACCTTTTCCAGGTTTTTACTTGGGCTACTTTCTTCTCTTCAGACTCTGATTGCCACTGCACCATCTGCTGTAAGAGTAATAAAAGCAGTGTAATGTTTTGACAGATTTGACTGGTACAATTTCTAACAGTTCTCTCATTAAATATACTATGTTCCATAATCAGGTTATAAATGGGAACATGCTACATGGTGGTAATAGAGCAGAAACATAACAGGTATAAGTTGTTCACAAAATTTTCCAGAGCTTTAAAGTAGTCCCTACGACATCAAATGTTTGTAATAAATATGAATGTATTTATGGAAAGATAACATTAATACCATTTTTAAAAACAAAAAAACTCACGCCACTGAGATGAACAGTTGTTGAGATATTCGCATGCAAATTAACAGGAAGTGATGTCAAAGGGGAATGTCTGCATGTGAATATAGTATTACTAAAAAAGTTAACACTGACTGTAGAGAAGAATCTGATGTTTTTTAGGTTACTTTAATCAAAGAGAGATGAAGACTCAGAGTTCAAATAATAGTTTCAGTTAACAAAGACAAGGGAGTTCTCTTTTTTGAAAAGTTACCCTGTGATGTCACTTCCTGTTTTAATTTGGCTGAGTCAGGTTCATAGGAAAATATGCCAGTTATGAAACAAAATGGGTAAAAGTGTGTATTATGCCAAGTTTATTACATAAAAAGTTTTTTTTTGTCTTTTTGTATTTGAAGGATTTGCATGTCACAGGCACCTTAAAGCACAATATTTAAAACAATATTGTTTGTGGATTACCTACCGTAATACACTCACCGGCCACTTTATTAGGTACACCACGCTTGTAACCGGTTGGACCCCCWTTTGCCTTCAGAACTGCCTCAATTCTTCGTGGCATAGATTCAACAAGGTGCTGGAAGCATTCCTCAGAGATTTTGGTCCATATTGACATGATGGCATCACACAGTTGCCGCAGATTTGTCGGCTGCACATCCATGATGCGAATCTCCCGTTCCACCACATCCCAAAGATGCTCTATTGGACTGAGATCTGGTGACTGTGGAGGCCATTTGAGTACAGTGAACTCATTGTCATGTTCAAGAAACCAGTCTGAGATGATTCCAGCTTTATGACATGGTGCATTATCCTGCTGAAAGTAGCCATCAGATGTTGGGTACATTGTGGTCATAAAGGGATGGACATGGTCAGCAACAATACTCAGGTAGGCTGTGGCATTGCAACGATGCTCAATTGGTACCAAGGGGCCCAAAGAGTGCCAAGAAAAGATTCCCCACACCATGACACCACCACCACCAGCCTGAACCGTTGATACAAGGCAGGATAGATCTATGCTTTCATGTTGTTGACGCCAAATTTTGACCCTACCATCCAAATGTCGCAGCAGAAATCGAGACTCATCAGACCAGGCAACGTTTTTCCAATCTTCTCTTGTCCAATTTCGATGAGCTTGTGCAAATTGTAGCCTCAGTTTCCTGTTCTTAGCTGAAAGGAGTGGCACCTGGTGTGGTCTTCTGCTGCTGAAGCCCATCTTCCTCAAAGTTCGACATGTTGTGCGTTCAGAGATGCTCTTCTGCCTACCTTGGTTGTAACGGGTGGTTATTTGAGTCACTGTTGCCTTTCTATCAGCTCGAACCAGTCTGCRCATTCTCCTCTGACCTCTGGCATCAACAAGGCATTTCCGCCCACAGGACTGCCGCTCACTGGATGTTTTTTCTTTTTCGGACCATTCTCTGTAAACCCTAGAGATGGTTGTGCGTGAAAATCCCAGTAGATCAGCAGTTTCTGAAATACTCAGACCAGCCCTTCTGGCACCAACAACCATGCCACGTTCAAAGGCACTCAAATCACCTTTCTTCCCCATACTGATGCTCGGTTTGAACTGCAGGAGATTGTCTTGACCATGTCTACATGCCTAAATGCACTGAGTTGCCGCCATGTGATTGGCTGATTAGAAATTAAGTGTTAACGAGCAGTTGGACAGGTGTACCTAATAAAGTGGCCGGTGAGTGTATATCAAATGAGTGCTGTAACACCAACCACAGTTACAGAACCTTTCAGTTATGAAAGTACCATGTACTATTAAGTGTTTTTATAATTAGCATTTTATAAGACTAAAAGAACCAAGAGGTTTTCATTTACATAGCATTCCCTCATACACTTGAACAGCCCCATATGCATTTGTTAGATTTTTCTAACCTTTTCGTTTTAAAAGCAGCTTTATAGGCTCTGAGGCCAAATACAGACAAACTTTAATAAAATGTCTTAAGTAAAACGTTTACCCCCCACATGGTTATTAAAGATGCAGGTGTGAAAACGATGTGGCATTCCTGGAAGTGTGACTGCCTTGAAATGGCCTTTTTGACAGGTGCAGCTCATTTTGTTTGTGATAACTCAGTTCTTATTAAATGCTCCAGTAAGCCATTCCATTGAGGTATCCTGCACAATGCCACGGCTCTGGCACAGACTCAATTTACTTCAATGCAGATGTTATTAATGTTGCTAATTACACATGAGCTGTCCCTGCTGTGATATCTTGAAGTGTTTGCCATGAATGAGGTAGACTGTCTAAATCCTGCAGCGGGTGCTCGGAGAGAGTCGAGCAATTACATCCAGTTGAGTTTTTACTCACTGAAATTGCAACCCTTAGAAAGTAAAAAAAAAGCATAGCTTGTAAAAACTAGAAAAGACCAGTGTGCTACAACAAACCTGTTAAATGTAGATTTTTTTTCCTTGCAAAACTTTAAAGGTCAAACCATTGTGTGATTGCTTGCTGTGCCTGTACTTACCAGGCTTTATTGTCATGTGTCTACTGTTGTGCATAAACATGTGCCAACAATGGTCCTCTCGCCGCCTGCAGCTGTGTCATGCGGCGTGCCTACGGCGCCAGTAAACGGAGGTGTGCTTGCTGCTGATTACTCCGTCGGCACCCGGGTGACCTACTTCTGCAACAGTGGCTACCGGCTCTCCTCCAAAGAACTGACGACCACAGTCTGCCAGCCAGACGGCACCTGGAGCAATCACAACAAGATACCTCGGTGCATCGGTGAGCAGAGGATGGAGGGGAGAATGTGGAGAAAGAGGCGAGATTTAGAGAGACGGGGTAATCGAGAGGAAACACATGGTTAGGGAGTAAGAAGTTGAGAAGTGACGATACTGATTTTTTTTTCCTTTTACATAAAAAATGTTTCCAAAATCTTATAAGATTCTTCGGAGACTATAACTTGAAGCTGTTTGCTTTTACCAGCTACATTTTTTTTTTCATCACGGAAGGTGGAGATGCTATAAATGAGAGTTCAGAAATGATCTGGAGAACTTGTAAAGTACCAACGTTTTAACAAAACTGTCTTGTCATATAAATGTAGAGTGCAGTCCTCACAGACCACAAGATGAATATTTATGACAAAAACACTAGCTTGTTGGGTTGTGCTGAGATGGATGAATGAAAGGTAGAATCATAGTAGAGGGAACATGTGTGCCTGACACTGGGGTAATACTTTCATATTCTGGTGAAACTTCTTCAGCATGTGGAAGTTAGTGTAACAAGTGATTGACAACTCAGTTTTCTACTGAGACCAAGGTTTGTTCCTGACTGTGGATTCGCAGAAAGAGAGGGAACAAAATTCTAAAGTCGTTTTTGTTTAGGAGTGCTGTTACAAATATAGATTTGTATTTTCACTGATTAGTTTCTTATTTTGAAATGATTTTTCCTACGAATTTTGTCAGGATGTTGCATTGTATTTGAGGCAGGAGAATTTATGGGGAGGTTGATCTACTTGAATAATGCAAAACTATCAATGTTCTCAGACCGTTGAACGCTTAATTTTTTTCTTTTCTTTTACTAGTTATGACGTGTCCCAGTCTTGGCTCCTTCTCTCTGGACCACGGTCGGTGGAGGATAGTCAATGGTTCACACTACGAGTTCAGAACTAAAATAATCTTCACCTGCAACCCCGGATACTATCGTGTCGGTCCTGCTCATATCCAGTGCCTGGCCAATGGAGTGTGGAGCTGGAGAAACGAGAGGCCGCGGTGCAGAAGTGAGTGACTTTTTAAGTGGTCCCGAACATAAACCCAACTCTCATCGATCCCACGAAAGGCATACATTTTATTAGCAACAAAACACACGTTTGAAATAGGAAGACTGTACTTTAAGCTGCTGAAAATGACTCTTCATCTCCACTTCAGCTACACTGGATTATCAAAGAGTACACATTGCAAGGTGTCCTGATGCATCTCAGTAATCCAGCTAGAAAAAATCTAAAAGAAAAAAATAAGTAGGTCCTCTGGATGGGTTCTTCTTTAGTGAAATGTTTCATCTCTCCTCCAAGAGACTTCTTCAGTCTGATGAGTTTCAGGTGAACTCATCCTTATAAGCACTGCCTCCACATGGTGGACAAACAGGTTAGTCACATGCAAATGAGGGCCATCGCCTAACAATAGGCTTGATTAGCTCTATTGTTCATAGAGGGCCATGTGCCCCATCACCTGACCCATGTTGTGTTATGTGTATTTAGTGAATGCAAGCGGGGCTTGACGTCCCCTTGTTTTTGTCCCTCTTTACCCAACACAAAGAGGAAAAGAGGGACAAAAACAAGGGGACGTCGAGCCCTGCTTGCATTCACTAAATACACATAACACAACAAGGGTCAGGTGATGGGGCACACGACCCTCTATGAACAATAGAGCTAATCAAGCCTATTGTTAGGCGATGGCCCTCATTTGCATGTGACTAACCTGTTTGTCCACCATGTGGAGGCAGTGCTTTTAAGGCTGAGTTCACCTAAAACTCATCAGACTGAAGAAGTCTCTTGGAGGAGAGACGAAACGTTTCACTAAAGAAGAACCCATCCAGAGGACCTACTTCTTTTTTCTTTTTGATACACATTGCAAGGCAAGAAGAATACCTTATTTACTTAATCATCAGCTCATTGATCTATTTTTGTGCTCTTCACCCCTTCCCCTAGCAGACAGGGTTAGATATTGTTTATTGCAGGAAAAAAGCCATAAAAGCTGTTCTCTGCTGCCATGGGAACTGCTTTTTGAGAAGCAAAAGAGTCGAGTAGCTTGTGTAATAGCAAAAAAATAAATAAATAAAAAAGAGAGATGCCAGCTAGTGTGATGAAAGATGTTTGGACAAAGGAAAACACCATCATTATCTTCCCCATGTAATAGTACAGGTCACCTCTTATCACATTAAGGTCAGTAAGATGACGGTAAATGACTCTGCTCTCCCATTGACTCAGAAGATGTAAGCCAACTTCCATCTCATCCTTCATTCTTTCTTGTTCTCCCACTCGTTACGCTGATGCCTCCTTCTCCTTCCTCCTTCTCTTACCATCCTCTTCATCTCATTGCAGTCATTTCCTGCGGCGATCTTCCTACTCCTCCTAATGGGAAGAAAATCGGGACTCAAACTACCTTCGGAGCATCGGCTATTTTCAGCTGTAACCTTGGCTATGTTTTAACTGGATCTACTGTCAGAGAGTGTCTCCTGTCAGGCCTTTGGAGCGGAATGGAGACCCGCTGCCTGGGTAAGCATGGTCTAAATGTTCTTGACCTATGTCAGAAACTGCTGGCAGCCTATTTAGACTGAGTATGAGCTTGGTCGGTTGGGCCACCATGCCCAGAATAGAACCAGATGGGGAAGCAGTAGGTGGTCCTGCTTCTGTTGCCTAGTGTCTAAATCCAATGACTATAAAATACTTTGAACATCTGTATATATATATA